TGTCAACCTAGGATAGTAGCATTTCAAAAAAGGTTTGAAATCAAGTTAGAATTGATTTTAACTGTAGTTTAATGAAGTTTATAATACTTCCCTTAACTCTTTTATTACCAGTTTTGATCTAAGGTTGGTGTAAATCAGAAATTGATATAAAATCTCTTGTTGCATCCTACAAAGATGAAGTTTGCTCTTGTTGTTATTTATTAAGTCCTTAGTAGTCCATTTTTACTTTGCCTTATTTGCTATGAAATCTTTAGTGTTTTAGCTTTTTTTTTTCTTTTTTTGGTGGGGCACGTGAATTAATACAAACATTCAAAATAAAAAACTGCATTAGGAAAATGATGACAGTCCTAGAAAATTTGTTCTGCTTTCTCACTAGATTTGATTTATGAATCAATTGCAGGAATTGCTAAAAAAGGTGAAATTTATTCCTGGATCAGCACTGAATGCCATGGCTGAAACATTGGACAGGCGGCCGTATTGGTGTATATCAAGGCAGAGAGTTTGGGGTGTTCCAATTCCTGTGTTTCATCATAAGACAAAAGATGAATACTTGATCAACAGGTAGAACTCTTTCTACAATTTTTCAGTGTTTTAAAGTGAGTTGTATTTTCTTCAAAAATGGGAAAGCAGTTTGGACTATGTGTTAAACTAAAATAGCAGTCTTTTTGGGGGGTAAAATATAAATTTGAAGAAGATCCTTTAATATGGTCGAAATATTAACAGAAAGTAGATTTTTTTTCAATACTGATACTTAAAAGCAAAGGCTCTGATTTTTTTCTATGAAAATTTACTGTGCTAGTTTAAGATATCAGGGATCCAAAGATGAACGTTGTTTAGTGGTAGAGCCTGAAATGTAATCTTTAGGAATTAGAATCGCTCTCTTTATTTTGATTCTACTCCCCTTTTCAGTGGAAATAGCATTATGTAATTGTTTAGATACTTTTAAATTTAAGAAACTATAATACTGTTAAATGCACATGATTACATTATTTCCAGTTATTTCTTGTTTTTAATTTGGAAAGATAATAGATGGACATTATAAACTTTTCTACTCTGAATTGTTTACTTAGTGAAAAGCAGGCTTTTTCCTACTCCCCACACCAGTCTTTTTTGATGCTCACAGTGCTTTCTGAATCTTTTCAGGAAAAATGAATTCCTCTGCCAGCATATGTGTATATTTATATTTAAGGGAGTTTCTCCATCTGCTGCTTTATGCCTTGATTTGTTTTCACTTTATATCTTATAGTTTGTTCCAAATCAGTACATGTAGACCTGTTTCATTTTCTGAAGTTTTATCAAGGCATACTTTACATACTATAAAATTCATTCATTGTAAGTGATTTATAAATTTATACAGTTTTACAGCCACCATCACGATTGTGTTTTAGAATAATTCCCTTACCCCAAACAGCTCCCTTATGTGCTTTCTGAAAGAGAAGCTACTTGGAAAGAATATGAGCTTTGGAGAATGACAGCCAGAGTTGAACCCAGGCTTTGCCATTTACTGCATGTGAAACTGTGAGGAATTTGCTTAACCTTTCTTTTCTATAAAATAGTAAAAACACTGGTTGCAGGCAGATTATTACAAATACAAAATAATAAATGTAAAGTACTTGATGTAAAGCACAGTGCTCCATAAATAGCAGGTGCTATTCAGCTGTTCTTTCAAGAAGCATTGGTCAGCACTTAGTGCACGTCAGTGTAGGCACTGCTAACAGCCACAGTGAGCAAGATGGATGTGGCCTCTGCTCTTCACGAGATGGTAGCCCAGCTAGTTTATCGTCTGATAATATTAGGGAGGCCTTGAGTGTTGTTGCTATTTTTAACAGATGTGGAAAGGGGAATATTAATTATTCCTTTTAGGAATGCATTCTAGGTTTTTATTTTCTTTGACTAATTTGTTTTAATTTGGTTAATGGAATATTTACTAAATTATGCTATAGCATAAGTGAAGA